TGTGTGTGTGTGTGCTTTTTTTCTTTTGTATGAATGAATGGATGAATATGCATGGGAATGAGTAAAGCAAATAACCTGTTCTTTTTTTCTCTTCATATTGCATGTTTTATGTTATGTTCCAATAAATGTGGGGTTATGCCTTATCTCTTGATAAGATTCTGCCTTGTTTTTAATTCTCACTGTATGCCCTGTGCACACAACACAGTGAAGACATCACCACACATGTTGAACGCAGTGTAGACCTATCTGAAAAAGAAACCTAATAAAGACTAAGTGACTAATGAAAGGAAAAGTCAATGATATTAAAGACAAGATACCTTTTAACTGATCTTCAGTCTTCTGTTGATCAAATGAAACAACTGCATCTGATGTAAATGTAAGATCTTCTTCAAATGCTTCTACCTGCTGTCCATTCAAGAAAATGTTGATCTGAAAAAATATACCCATTTTTAAACTGTTTAAATCACACAACTAGAAATCCAGTGTTAAATATGTAAATTAAACTAAGTGTCATGAAGAATGTGAATTAAAATATGTGCCATATTTCACATTAGAACCTATACATCAAAGCTTTCCTCTCTTCTTTTTAAATAAAACTTGTCAAAACATTCTAAACTACTCTGATTCTCTACTCCTAAAACCCCATGTGGAGCTGTGGCAGGGCATTGTTGGTGCCTGCCACTTCAAGGGCCAGAGCAGGCAGCAGCCAGGTGCTTGACTGCGGCAGCCACTTTAGAGAGCAGGCTATAACTAGGGTGAACCAGCAGTTTGCTGCTAGCAGCTGTGAGAGAGACATCAGCTGGTGGAGCTGAGGAACAGGAACAAGTTGGAGATCTATGGGCTGCGGCTATAGGGATGGAGGAGGCTCCAGGTCCTGGGCATGACCTAAAACTGCACCCTGCCAGGAAAGGGAGGCCTGGTGGGACTGCTGGTGGTGTGGGAGCCCCATAAAATGCCAGGCCAGTTATCTCCCTGGTGAAAGGCGAGTTGGGGGTGCCTAATAACCTCCAGCCCCTGCACATTCCTAGCTGGGTACTGTCCAGGCTTTTGAGAGCTCAGAAAGGCCTGTGGCTCAGTTGCTACTGCAGTTGTGAGGGTAAAAGCAGGCAAGCAGCTCAACTGGTCCATGCTGGGGCCAAGACCCAGAGAGGGGTCAAAAGGGCCAGGGGCCCACCGCAAGGGATGCCTACAGAGCAAAGAGGCTCAGGGTCCCAACTGGCCTTAAATGGGGCCAGGGCCTAAGGAGGAGCCAAAGGTCCCAGAGAGGGGACCACAGCTAATGGGCAAAGGGAATGGCTGAGTTCAGCTGCCTGGGATGCCATCTGCAAGGCTTGGGCTTCAATGTAGGGGTGGAATGGAGCTGCAGATATTCCCCTGAACAGTGGAGTTCAAAATAGGCAGCCTCCCACCTAATAAAGATCTTAATCAGTTTTCATCAAGGCATGCTACCCCTGCATCTAAGGATTTGGTGATATGGTCATAGAAGGCCACCAGGTTGGTCTGACAGGCCCTGCCACTAATGAACCCGTGTTGGTTGCCCCTAAGCATAATCTCTCCTGCTGGCCCCTCATGGATACGCGCCAGAATAATTTTCTCAAAAATCTTGCCCAGGATCGAGGTAAGACTAACTGGCCTATAGTTTCCCGGGTCCTCCTTCCTCCCCTTTTTGAAGATGGGAAACACATTGGCCCTCTTCCAGTCGCCTGGCACCACACCAGAGCACCATGAGTGCTCGTAAAGCCGTGCCAGGGGTCCTGCAATGACCTCAGCCAATTCCCTCAGTACTCTAGGGTGGAGATCGTCCGGACCAGCTGATTTGAATACATCCAGTCCTTCCAGAAGTTCCCTAACTAGTTCCTCACTAACCCTTGGCCTAGGTGCGCCTCACCTGGGGCCTGAGGGGGGCCCAAAGGGGGGGTGACTGTTCCGGTCCCCACTTAGGAAAATGAAGGCAAAGAAATCGTTAAATATGTTGGCTTTGTCATCTGGTGTGACGACCAAATTTCCTAACATGTCCTGCAGGGGCCCCACATTACCCAGAACCTTCTTTTTACCCCCTACACATTTAAAAAAGGACTTCTTGTTGTCCTTAATCCGGAAAGCTAGTCCCAGTTCCATTTCCACCTTGGCCTTCCTGACTGCCCCCCTGCATCTCCGAGCAACTGCAGTACAGTCCTCCCTGGTGATGGCCCCTCCCTTCCATTGGGTGTACGCGTCCCTTTTTGCTAGGAGACATTGGTAGCTCAGGCCAACTTCTAACTGGCCCTGGGAAGGCCCCCTGTTACAGTAGCCTACTGTGTATGCTCAGTCTATGTCCACATGCATATATGTTTTCTGACTAAAGGGATAACAGAACCAGAACCTATGTGTAAGTGCCAAAAAGGCTACTTACATGGCTAGAAAACTTCTATTTAGGTGCACAGTGTAATAGAATTCCTGTCCTTTATGTGTTTTTCAATGGAAACTATATTAACACTTACTTACTAGAAATGTCATAAATATAAGTGAGAATCAAGCAGATCCTATAATAGATATTTAAAATCTTCTAAAACATCTCCAGAAGTTTCTGCCTCTAATTGCAATGTGCAAAGAAGATTCAACAACTGCCTGGAAGTTCTCATAAAATGCAAATAATCTCTAACTACTGAAACTATTCTGTTTACGTGGGCAGTTACTCGTTTGTAATCTTCCAATTATACAACTTTGATTGTTAATCAATTGTTAACTGCTGGATGACAGAGGAGGAATGAGAAAAATAATTTGTCCAAGGCTTTAGACCTTTTTAGATAAAGTTAAAAGGCTCTAGTTACATTTTTCTTTAATAAGTAAAGGAACAAAAAGGAAGGTAAACTATACCTCTTGAACACCTCAGAAAGAGTGCTGATTCTAAGGATGAATCCTGCATCTAGATATAGCACTATTTAATATTAAATACTGCAGTAATGAGATTACATAGTTCATCTTTTTAGTTCAGAGAATAAGATGACCTCTACTTTACAGAGTGGAGAAAGACAAGTATGAGTTACAAATGATGTTTTCATGGGAGCAGCTAGGAATAAGTTTGATCAATGGGCTACTCTCAAAATCTATGCATTAACAGGTACTACAATTATTAGGAATCAGATCAACCTTGGCTTGTTTACTACTACAATTATTAGAATTGTAGAAGAATGTTGCATAGTCTATTCCATTAGTCCTGGAGCAAGTTTGTCTTCCAGGATATTTTTGACTTGTGCCATGTTGGCACAATTTTACACTATTTAGCTCTGTACCCATTATGCACCAAATGTCCTCCACAGTTTGGCATAAGACAGCAACCAATCTCTTCCTTGAAGACATCAGACCATTTGGCTCCATGGGCAGAGTTATCACTCTCTCTATACTTTGTTTTTCAGGGGAAATAATAACCTCAGTTGCATTAAGTACATGTGTTTTCTTAAAGTAAAAAATAATGTGTCTGAGGCATTATCAAAAATAAATACCAATACAGAACTTACAGAAACAAAACATTAAGGAAGATGCTAACAGACCATTAAGACAAATTGTGTTGTTCTATTTCATTGTTTGCATAATTGATAAAATATTTTCAAACAACTATCCTTGTTTTAGGTAGATTTACTAGGGTTGGGAGGTATTTTTTAAATTTTCCTAACTGAAGAAGAGCATGCATTCAAAAATACTGTCTTTTAACAGAAACCTTATGCAGTTATAAAAGCTTAAGTGATCTCTGCTGGAGTTGGGACAACTGCATAAGATCAGGAGAAAAATATTCTCCAACATAAAATGATAAACCTCTAATTTATGAAACACAAGAAGATGTTGTCACATTTGCTGTGTTAGATCTGCCTTCTATTTTTTCTCTATTAAAAAGACATCTGTACTATGGCAAAAAAATTTTAAGCAAATTCTGTAAATAATATTAATTTGTTATCCTGCTGATGTTTTGACCTGTTCCATCTTTTACTTTCTGCATTCACTACCTATGCACCCCTGGTTAAATTTACTGCCTCTTTCTCTGGTTACAGCATTTGGAAAATTAGTACTGTGGAATTTAAGCCCTCTTGATCAGAATACTCTTACATCAGCTGCATTTTCAGTGTGGATGCCTTATCATGAAATGCTAGTACTGTCATTTGGATACTAGCTATCACATAACTCATCTGGAAAAGAAAAAGTGTATCTGTAGTTTCAACTGCAGTCTCAAAAGCACTGAGACTAACACTGGGCACATCGATATGAAACTTTTACTGAGCAGTAGACTAATTAGCTGTACAGTAAATGTCTTGGTGTCTACATGTGCACCCCTACTAGGCTGGAATAAAATACCTTACTAGTATTTACAAGTACTATCCTGATGCAAAGTAAAAAACTGCAGCAGCATACATGTAAACTCTGGAGAAACTAGCTGCGGCACAAGGGTGCTTTAGTGAGGGGCCTGTCTGCCAGCTAGCCCTACACTGAAGCACCCTCATGCCCCAGGCAGCTCCTCTGAAGTACATTTTGCTGTGGGGAGCAGCCCTGGGCTAGCAGGCTGAGCCCTGGGGCCCCCTGCCAGCCAGAGCTGCTTTGTCCCAGCTTGGGCACATGTGCAGACATATGCCCAGTAGCAATAAGTTGTATCATGGGATGGCAGCATTGAATATTTTCATTAACATATTATAAAACATGGAATGCAAATATATGCTATAATCATCTGAGGGAAAAATATATTTTAGTACAATTTACAGTAAATCTTGCAGCTTTACAATGCCTGATCCTATTTCTATTGAAATCAGGTTTGCTTTTCCCATTGCTGCAGTCAGAACAAGATGAGACCTCTAACAAGTAGTGCTTACCTTAACATTTCTTTTGGGATAAAGGAAGAAAAATGGTTTCAAAACTGGAGACCTGGATGTACAAAACAAATAATATATAACTATGTAAACAATAACAAATGAAAAAACTGGGTCATACCTCTTTCAGTTCATTAAGTATTTGGACAATTCAAAAGTACCATAATTAAAAGTGTGTAGCCAAGGTTAGTAGTAATTTTTTCATCAATTTTGATATAGTTGGAAAGGGTGGTCATTCCTTATAACTTCCATACTCATTAAGAAGGTGAGAGTAAAAAGGGTGGGACAGCCTGAAATAATATCATTGATGTGTTTATGACATCAAGGATAGTCAATCAAATTTTTTATGTCTTCTGCATATCTGCTCAATGCTTAATGGCAAGGGTTGGCAACCTATGGCTCAAGGGCTGGATCTGGCCCATGGAGTCATAGCTTTAGCAGCATTCAATGGCAGGGTCTCTCCCTGTGAGACATGCACCCTGCAAGAGACAGGCACCTGGGGCTCCAACACAGTGGGAGCTCTGCCCATGCCATGCCAGGCGGGCAGCATGGGTTCCGCTGGAGCACGCCTTTCACCATGCTTCCCTGCAGCTGAACAGTGGGTATTAGCAATGGTGGTGGTGGCCTGGTACTAATGCCTGTCAACCTCTGACTCAAACTGGGTTATCGTGCTCCCCTCCAACCCCCAGAAAATGCTGCTAACCCCTGCTGTGTGGTGTTTCATATGCTTAAAGAAAATGTTATGGGCTAATGCATGAGTCTCATTAGGAAAGTAAGAAGTATCATATTAAAAAAAAAATCACTCTCTCTCACAAGTTTTAAATAATATCCGTATCATTACAGTGATCATCAAAGCTGCTAGTAATACAGGTAAATAATTTAACTAAATATGAAAGCTTTATTTTGGCTATCCCTTCAACCAAGGGGTTGACAACCTACATCCTGCACAGCTGGGGCACTCCAGTGGCAAGGGACTTCAGCAGTGCCACAGCTGGACGGTGGGAGGTTTTGGCTGTATTGCAGCTGGATGGTTGAGGAGAAGCTGTGGTGGTTATGGGAGTGTCTGGGTCCTAGCACCAACCTACTTCAGATCCAAGCTGGTTCATTCCTGCCTGCCACCAGAAAACATTGCTTACCGCTACTTTAGCCAATCATATAAGATCAACTACTTAACTCCTGCTTTTAATTCTCCCCACACTGTGCAGTCACAGAAATAATGCAGTATACGTTTCATAATATTCCTATAGAAACAGTTTTGAAAAACTCTAAAAACACCTTCTGGAAATGTTTTCTTTCTAGGAATGTACAAACAAACAATTATATATGACAAGATCTGTGTAAGAAAGTTTGGGCTAAGGGTAAATTGGTATCTAGTAAAGGCTAGTAACACTGCATTTTTTGAGGCAAATCTAATGCAGCTGGTACATCTGCACTGTTTTGAGGTCTGACTAGCTTTAGTTGAGCCATCTTCGATACTAATAGCAGTGTTGCTGTGACAACACAGCCTCTGAAATGGGCCTGAGAACTTGGGTACTTACTCAGAGGCTGAAACTTGTGTCAACAGAGCCAATGTACTCAGGCAGTCAACCTGATTTGCAAAGATATGTCTGTACATGCCACAAACACACTTTCAAGGGCAGTGTAAAACATGTCTTAAACCATATTGAGTGTCAGTTTGAAAAGGGGTTCAAATATTATTGATTTTTCTCACAACTATTCTCATGAATAAGAATGAAAGTGTGAACATGTACATTTAATACAAAGAATGACTTCATCTTTGGTGTCAGAAGCAGACTGGCCAAGTTTGCTAACGACACCAAACTCTGGTGACCTAAAATAGGTATATTCAGAATTACTCTACTCTAACTTGGTTCATCGTTTTCGTGCTAATGATGCAGTAGAATACACTTTAAGAACAATTTTTTTAAGTACTAGACTTACCTCGCATAAAGGTGACTAGAGTCTCACAGCATGTACAGACATTCATTCTCCCAAGAGAAACTCTCCTGGGAATGGTTTGACCTTGGTTGTTCCCTGGTTATTTTCTCCTGAAGCAGCCATTTTTACTCTGGGAGCAAAAACCTGAACATCTATACATGTAGTTTCTCCTGGGACAGCAATTCTCCCAAGAGAAACTGAATGTTTACAGGAGGCCGCAGTAGAAGTACATATAGTGTGCCCAAAAACTGGCTAGAGAGGTCTGCTAACTGTTGCAAATATCTTGTAGTATAACTGTTCCTTTGTCACCAGTTAGTAGACATAACACAAGATGCTATTGAAATTTTTTTAAATGGTGGGAGGAGTACTATACCCAGACACTGAGACTAGTGAGTAATCAGAAATCAACTTACACGCTTGGACGCCCTCCAGCAATTGCAGTGAGACCAGGTGCTAGAAATTGAAAGCAAAACAAAACAAGCAGGTTAATTCTAGAAAGACTTTTTGCAACAAGTGTAACAGATTTGAATTCAATTTTGTTTTACCCTTAAACCTTCTTGTGCCCAACACTTAGCAAATGGTGGGAAAGTCTAGAAAAGAATTTACCTTTTACTAGAAATATTAAATTAAGTATTTTTGTGAGACAGTTTAAAAAACTGAGATTTTTACACACAAAAAAAGAAAGAAAATCAAAAAGCAACAACCTGAAATAGGTCTCATATATTCACAAAATAGAAACTATGGAAAGGATCTCACATGATTTTTAACTCCAATCAGATCATTAATTTATAAGAAAAAGACATAATGCTTTGAAAGAGAGATGGCTTTGAATTGTACTGTGGTTTATATATTGCAAATGACTGTTAAACTTTTTCATGAAAACAGTCATAAATATATGAAAAGAATCAGCTCTACAGAAAGCAAATCTATGCTCCTATTTATTAACTACTTGATGCAACCTAACCAAAGAATTATGAGGATGACTGATAATTTGAATATACCAGTTCAGCCACAATTTTGACATGCCAAGTAGCAAAAATATGCAGTGCTGCTTTGCATTAGACCCTGTAGAAAACTCAGAGAACTGATTTTAGAATTTTGTAGTTATATTGTGCATAACTTTTGTTATTTATTTGTAGCATAATCATGACATGTAGATACAGCTATGGTAAAATGCAGCTATGGTAAAATACCACTGAGAATAGTTTTACTGGTCAGTTCTATCTGCAACTGATCAGTAAAGCATGAAAAAGTAGGGCTATTAAAGATTTGGAAAAAGCAATATAAATGTATTTGTGGCAGGGCACTGTTGGTGCCTGCCACTTTAAGAACTGAGCCAAGCTGCCAGCAGGTGCTTGATTGCAGAGGCCATTTTAGATCTCTGGCTGCCTATATAAACAGAACAGTTCACTGCTGGCAGGCCAGGCAGTAACACTGGCTGCATGCAACATCCTGGAGGTAAGGGCAGGAGCTTAAGGTTATGGTTTGGAAGCTCCTGGTCCTGGCCATGACTTAAAACTGCACCCTGCTGGGGATGGGTAGCCTAGTGGCCTGGTGGGGCTCCCAGTAGTGCAGGAGCCCCCAGGAAATGCCAAGCCAGTTACCACCCTGGTGAAAGGTGGGTCAGGCTGTCTTAATAACCCCAGCTCCCACAACCGGGTGGGTTACCCCATAGAAGGGCCAAGTTAGAGAGGGAGCTGGAGGCTCATAGATCTGACCTGAAAAGCCTTGACTGGTTAATGCTGGGACCAGGACCGGAAGTGCCAAAAGGACCAGGGGCCCACCATGAAGGATGCCCAGAGCTGAGGGCTGGGGTTTCCAACTGGCCTTGGAGGTGAGGCCAGGGCCTATGTGGCCAAAGGTTCTGGGGGGACCACACCCAAAAGGGGGAACAGTTCAGGGAGCTGGGCAGCCCAGAATGAGGTTGAAATAGGTCGCCTGAGTGGAGGGATCTTGTAGGGGTCTAGACCAGAGAATTCTGGGGCCCAGAGTGGGGCTAGTGACATTAACAACTGTGGATACTATCTGTGAGGCTTGGGCTGCAGTGTAGGGGACAAACAGATCCATAGATAGCACCCCATGGCATCGGGGAAAGAAATGGGCAGCCTCCTGCCTAATTAAGATAATGAATTATATATCAAAAAAGCATGGCAGACGAGAAGGCAGGCGGTTGGCCCAGAAACAGGTGGACTGGCTGTTGGTAGACCAGCCCTGAGAGAGTCCCCTGTTACAGCATTGCTAGACTGATTTAACTGAGATGGCACTGCATTTCAACCAGGTCTTCATATAATATCTTTCTGTAGAAAATTTAGAGAAATATTAGCACATCTCACATCCCTTTCTGCTTCCAAAAGGGAGCTTGTAGGATTTTTAGATTAGATTCTGTCTGAAACACCAGTTGCTTCTAGGGTCACGTCGAGACATGCATGGACATTTGGTTCCCCAGGGACAACTAGTGAGACCCTGTACCACCGCTAGCTGTCCCCAGGTAATACCTGTGCCTCACATCCTGGCGCATAGCAGGTTTCTCCAAGTGGGGTAGGGGAGGCTGAGGCCAGCACTGGGCTGGCCCCAGAAGACTTACCTGGGGGCCTCCCAGGGCTGCACCAGCAGCAATCCTGCTGCACGGAGCCGGGCTGGCCACAGAGCACAGGTCTGGATAGCTAGGCTCTGGCTTCACCTTTAACTGCCAGCACATTAAACACACAATTTAACTGCCAGCATTCCTGGAGCCACTTAATGCTGCCTTCCCTCTTACTCAAAATAACAGGGGATAGAGGCCCACCGTTACAGTCTAGAAAACATGATATATGAGGAAGTCAGAAGAATCAGAATTTGTCTAAGGAAGAGAAAAACAGGGGTGGAGGAATTGATAGCTTTTTCATATACAAAAAATTATTATGAAGAAGACGGTGATCAATTTGTTCTCTGTTTCCTGAGAACAGAACAAGACAAGAAGTAATGACTGAAATTACAACACGGGAGATGGAGGTTAGATATTAGAAAGATCTTCTAGCTGTGAAGGTTATGTGAGAACCAGTTACCTCAAGAGGTTGTGGAATCTCAGGCAGTAGAAGTTTTAAGGACAGGTTAGACAAACATTTTTTTCTGGGATGGTTCAGACAGGGATGATCTTGCCTCAAGCATGGAATTGGATTAAATGACTTCCTGAGGTTCCATCCATCCCTATTTTTAATTATTCTCACGGAGACAAAGTGGGAGAAAAAAATACACAACACAATCTCCTTAAATGACAGTTTATATTGAGTAGGACTTTACCCACATAGAGACCTGAAAGAAGACACGTTTATCATCCTGGTATTGGAACCAGGGCCAAGACCCCTCAGAGGGGACACCCTTCTGACTACCCTACTGAGCTATATTTCTTCTTGCTTACTTTCCTTCTGTCTCCATTAATTATGCATCCTTTGTGGCTCGATGGGCAATTTCCAACAGAAGAAAAGAGGGAACCCCATCAAGATAAGCATATATCCTGGTGAATGTAAGGCACTTTTTTCGGTAGTGAAACATGTGTGCACATGTAAATCCCCTCAGGATAAGCAGAGCCTAGAAACCCTGTCTTCCACTTGGATAACTCTCTAGTCATTAACCCCTACAGCCTCCTCCACCACTCTAATATAATAAAAGCCATAGCACTTCTGGCTGTGTGTCTGTCTATCCATTATGCTCCGGGCCAACTGCACATGTGCCACCCAGAGCCTTATTGACAGGCAGACACACAGGCAAGTGAGGCGGAGGTGGTGGGGACCAAAATGTGCTCTGGGGCAGGGGACGTGGCTTGAGGCTGTGTGGGGGTTGCACAGGGAGCCGGTGTGGGGTGCACAGGCAGCATATGGCCACGGGGCAGGGCACACCCCCCACACCCACTCCCCACATGACTCCCTCCAGCCAGGTGCTCTGTCCCCCCACCCCAAATGAGGATCACCTGTTGACTGCAGCCATAGAGCGTGCAGTGGGGCATGGCACACGGCTGCATGGGGAGCCGGCACAGGGGGCGCATGGGTAATGCCACCTGACTGCAGCATGTGGCTGTGGAGTGGGCTGTGCCCCCCACGCCTGCTCCCCACGTGGCACCCTGTGGCCACACCCCCATCCTCTTGTAGTAAGTGACTGCCAGCTGTGGATGTGAGATGCACTGGCTGGGGGGGGGGGGCAGAAGGCAGGGTGTGTGGCCACAGGGTGCCATGCAAGGAGCTGGTGTTGGGGGTGGTAAGGGGAGGGGTGTGGTGGTGGCCCTCTGCCATCACCGGAAGGGCTGGGGGGCACTGGGGCTGAGGCTGCACCAGGCTGATCCCAGTGGGGGGCAGGCTGTGCTCAGACCAGACCGGGCTGTGGGGCCATGGGAGCCTACTGGCTCCTCCAGAGCCAGGGGCGGGTGGCTCCTGCCACTGTGCACACTGTGGGGGAGCCAGAGGAGGGGGGCCTGTGCTCACTGGTGATATGCCCCTTCATGAGCTACCAGGCTCTGATGGCCCCAAGACCCAGTCTGGCCGAGGCCCCAATCACAGTGAATGCAGCCCCAGCTGGGCTGGGCCATGGGACACTTGGAGCTCGGTTGCTTCTCCAGAGGTGGCACCAGAGAGCCCAGGTGGGCACATGGCCCCTGGTCTATGCAAGGGGCAGCAGTGGCTGCAGCTGCAGCTGCGGCCTCCACTCCGCCTCTGCTCTCCACCTCGCTGCTTCTGCTTTGACAGTGGCATGGTGCCACACGAGTCCCACTGCAGGACAGGCTGAGCCAGGCAGTGATGTTGGGTGTGGGGGTGGCATGTGGCTGAGTGTGTGCAGTATGCAGGCTGTGGCTGGGTGTTGTGTGTGTGTGGCTGGGTGGGTGTGGCGTGTAGCTGGGTGGGTGTATGGGGATGGGTGGGTATAGTGTGACTGGGTGAGTGTGTGTGGCGTGTGGCTCGGTGTGTGTGTGGCATGTGGCTCGGTGTGTGTGTGGCATGTGGCTGGGTGAGTGTGTGTGGGTGGGAAGGGCGTGTGGCTGGCTGGGTGGGTGCATAGGGCATGTGGCTGGCTAGGCGTGGGTGGCATGCAGCTGGGGGTGTGTGGTTGGCTGCAGCCATAGAGTGTGCATTGGGGCATGGCACATGGATAGCGACCCCTGACTGCAGCATGTGGCTGCGGAGTACACTGTGCTCCCCACGCCTGCTCCCCATGAGGTACCCTGTGGCCACACCCCCATCCTCCTGTGGGAAGTGACTGCCAGCTGTGGATGTGGGATGCGCTGGCCAGGGGGGAAGGTGGGGTGCATGGCCACAGGGTGCCATGCAAGGAGCTGGCGCAGGGGTGGTAAAGGGAGGGGTGTCGTGGTGGCCTGCTGCTATCACCAGAAGGGCTAGGGGGTGGGTGTCTGGATGGGTGTGGTGTGTGGCTGTGTGTGTGTGGTGTGTGGCTTGGTGGCCTGTGGGTGGGTGTGTGAGTGGGTGGAT